CCTCTTCCCCAAGATGAAAATTCAGCTAAAGGGAATGAGATTTGAGACGATAGAAGAGATTCAGGCAGAATCGCAGATGGTGCTTGACAGGCTGACAAAGAAAGATTTCCAGGGATGCTTCCAGGCTTGGCAGCGGCGCTGGGATCGTTGTGTTCACTCCCAGGGGAACTACTTCAAGGGTGATGGATGAATTTAATACCTGAGATAAGTGTACGGGGTTTTATAGGCGCAGTCTTGAAACTTTCCGATCGCACCTCGTATGTTGTTACCCTAACACAAATTATACAGCAATTTACTTTTCGTAAGGTACACTACATCGAGCTCTAAAATTGAGAAGATAAACATATTTCAAAGAAGCAGACGTTTTAAACATCATTAGAGTGGAAATCATAAATAGAATAAATTGTGTATACATACTGTAATTTCAAAAAAACACGATTAACACCTCAGCGAATCTAAATTTAGACAAGCTAGCGAGAGGGGCGTCAACACCGAATTCTGATATGCAGGAAGAAAACACGGCCCTTAATATCACATAGTACGTATTCTGTATCTGTGCATTCTAGAGCAGGAAGTTTTTTTCCAGCGTCGTAAAAATATGCTCTAGGTCATCGGGTGCATCTCTCGGTAGGACTAAGCTGGCTTTACTTATTATTTCCGCGGCTATCCTCTGTTTCGCATTACAATTACCGATTGGAATCAATTATTCGGTTTTTGTCCGTCTAATCATAATTCGTATTTAAATTTACAATTAAGATAATTAAAATATCATTTTGTGTTCCTCATCGAACAATCGATTTACAATTGGAACACCTTTTTACATGTTTCGGTTTCTATATAAACCATCTTCAGGTGTAAAAGTTAAAATTATAAACTTAAAACTTAATTACAATTTCTGATATGCAACTTTTAATTAAGTTTTAAGTTTATAATTTTAACTTTTACACCTGAAGATGGTTTATATAGAAACCGAAACATGTTGTAAAAAGGTGTTCCAATTGTAAATCGATTGTTCGATGAGGAACATAAAATGATATTTTAATTATCTTAATTGTAAATTTAAATACGAATTGTGATTAGACGGACAAAAACCAAATAATTAATTAAATTTCACAATATGACGCAACTATATCATCTTACGATTGGAATAAAGCCAAAACGAGCTACTGCTCCGAATCTAATGACCCGTTTTTATAAAACGCAAAAATATTCATTACCGTACTCACAAAAGCCTGCCGCTGTACCTTGTACTGGACCAAATGATTCCTGTTTCTGTAAGATCATTGCCAAGATTATCCATTAATCTCTTGGACTCTCTGCCTCTTGCATTTCACAGAACAACAATATGGAGCCAGGCACAAGAGAGCAGGCAGTGGCCAATTTGCACCTGGTGTGCTGTGCGCCACTTCTCACCTCGCAATTAGCTCGGGTAGATGTACCATCAACAAGTTATGGAAACAAACTAGCCATCGGTAAACAGTCTTTGTTTGGCACACGTCGATGGTGACCTGGAACTGACTTACATATACGCCTAAAAGCCAGACACATCTCAGTGGTTCGACGCGCTCCGGGTGAGAGCAGTCTCGGCGTCATCAGGTAAGTTACGATATCGTTGCAGGCCTACGAGTACTTCACGGAACAAAGGAACGTCAAAGAAATTCAGAGTGGATTGTTCCAACGACGCAGAATAAATATTTATTCATATCCATGTACTTGTAAAATATATTCGCAAACACAAAACTGATTACACGGAGAGGAAATCTTCTTGAGAAGCTGATAGTCTTTTACCTGGTCAAATAAATTCCCCGCCTTTTACGGAACACAAACGCTCATTACCGTGTTCACAAGACCATATCCTGAGACATTTGAGTCCAGTCAAAACCCTATTTATTTGAGATTAATTTTTAATATTTTTCTACCACCTACTAAACCTTTGTATTATTTTCGTTTATTCAATCATGCGATCTACATGCGTGGCTCATCCTCTTTTATTTTAGCTTTACGTATGTTGAAGAGTACAAATTATGAAGTACATCTCCCAATATCTTTAATTTTCTTGTATTCTTTAGCATGAGAAAAGTAGCCGACAAAACCCACACAGGTCATTAGACTTCGAACGTCTCCGAAACGTCGCGAAGACCGGTCCCTGACATTCACTTCTGCAGAATCGCAGTCACAGTTCGATAACAAGTTTGGCTTCTTCAGGTTCATGTCAGAATGGCAACAAATATCACCGGAGTGGTTTCCATGGCTACTGCCGTAGGTAATACTTCCCTGGCAGATATCAGCACGGAGATGGAACATCTCAAGAATAATATTGACGACGTGTTCATAACAACCAGCGGCATCACGGTCTGCTGTGAGTAAAGCAAATTTAAAATGTTTGTTAATTAATTTCATGACGCTGTGTCATCTTAAAACGCTGAAAGTTGCTCAGCTGGTCAAGATATTTAACATATAATTTTTTTGTTGGTTTGTTTTAATATTCCGCCACTGGACCGCAATCCGCATTTTCATATTATTTATACAAGTAATTTTTACTTACCTGAACTAAATCTTTGTTGTCATTTTGGGGGTTCTTTGAAACTTAAACAAAGACCTCTGAGTAGACAGAAGTTTTCACTAATATCACAATCAGTATTTCTATTACCATTGTCATCGTCCTATGGCCTCTCAAATACATAGAGCAGAGTTATTCTTGAGATCGCCAAGAAATTATCTGCCCCTTATAGTGTCCGAGAGTTCATCATCGTGATTACAAAATCCCGTGCAACAACAGAGGCGTAAGGAAAGAACAAACAACAATCCGATAAATTAGTTATCTTGAAACAAATGCGATGTTTTCGACAATAAACACAGAGCGCAATTAAGAAGTAAGATACTCTTCTATTTGTGCAGTGATGCAGTGCGGGTTTGCATGCCTGGAGGCAGGGGCAGTGCGGTCCAAGAACACAACGAACATCATGATGAAGAATATCATGGACATCTGTGAGTAGTGCGAAAAATTATATCTGCACTTTTGTGTTCGCAGTCAACTGAGAGGAAATATTACATTAACAATACAAATATTTTTACCAAACAACGTCAGTATAAATCTTTTGCTGTACTCAATATTTGTTTAAGACGTCTGTTTTATGGGATCTTGCATCGTGTACTCTGGAAGATATTGGCCGACGTTTTAGAGGCACTTGCTGCCTATATTATAGCCCTGATGATGGAGGCAATAAGCACCTCTGAAACATCTGTCACTAACTAGCTACACGACATGGCTCAATATCCCAGAATACAGTCTCACCTGCATATTTGTTGGTTTGCAGTCTTCGATCTGAGTAATACCTGACATTTATTTGAGTGTCACCCTGTAGTTTCAGAAAATCACTGTAGAGCAGCGTTGTTCTGTTTCAGTCATTAGTTCAGTGGCGTACTGGCTCTTCGGCTTCGCTCTGGCATATGGAGATGGTAATTCTGTGATTGGATACACCCACTGGGCTGGAATGGGTGTTGATTATGGTAAAATGGCCGACTGGTTTTTCCAGTGTATATTCGCCGCTACTGCTGCCACCATAGTGTCTGGAGCAGTGGCAGAGAGATGCAACTACATTGCCTATATCACCTACAGTTTTGTCATATCAGGTATTACGATTAAGTTTAAGTGATGCCATTTACATCGGTGAGCACCTTACGTCAGGCAACACAGCTCTCTTCCGTGTTAGTTGGGTTGCAGGTCTCTCAGGTTCACAAAACCTTTACGAAGCACTGGGTTAAGACTTGCTTGCTAATATTCATATAATAAATATATCATCTTAAATATTCTTACAAGTCTAGAGGACACTTTTTTCAATCCTTTAAAGCCTAGTGGTAACTATATGTACCAGCTGCTTTAACAATCAGTATCTCTGCATTTTGTATTTATGATCCACAGAATAAACGTGTATTATTTCCTCAAAATCGTGTCGTGTTCTCTTTGCGGTACGGACCGAATTCTTAAATGTTATTTGGACGATCTTTGGCTTGAAAGGGTTTATTTAAATCATTTCAGTACGAAGAATGGTCGCGAATTTTGAATCTGTTGTTATGTATTTAATTAGCGATGGTTTATTCCAAGTGTCTGGTTCAGTTTCAATCAGACTGTCTTATAAATTCAAAATACAATCCAAAAGTCATCCGTTTTAGTTATTATGCAATCAGCATACAATCCTGTCTGTGTGTCCAGTTATACACGACTTTCTTGTTTTTTGCTGTTATATTTATCACACATTATTATGAATACGAAAATAATTTTTTAACTGGAAGAAATTCAAATTAAGGCTGAATCAAAAAAAACGACGTTTTTTGAGGAAGAATAATACAATTATCATTAGTTCGCTTAATTAATAAATTAATAAAAACATTACACATGTAAGAACGTGCGTGTAACCGATGTAAGAGAATCTGTTGAAATGCAGGCTTCGTGTATCCTCCTGTAACTCACTGGGCCTGGACAGAGCATGGATGGTTGAAGAAACTTGGCTACGTGGACTACTCCGGGTGTGGACCGATTCACCTGATCGGTGGGGTCTGCTCCTTCTACGGGGCCTTCTTCCTGGGGCCCAGAATCGGAAGATTTGCGAAAAAATTCAACAATTCAGAGAAGGAAGAGCTAGTGGGTCACTCAGTTCCGGTAAGTTCAACTGAATTTGGCGAGCTTTCAGGTTCTCACGGCAGCTAGTATGATGGTACAAGTTTGCCGATGTTTCGGAGGTGAATGCTGTCTCCATTATCAGGGCGCTACATTCCACAACACGGTTATCAACAATGTAACCAAGCGGAAAGCTTGATGTGAAAAAAAGCTGTCTTCTAGGATCGTTGTGTAGATTGGGTGATTCCCCTGATGATGGAGGCAGGAACTACCTCCGAAACTTCGGTAAACTTCAAACATTCTACACGGCGTAACAACCAGAGGAAAATCATGTTCATTGCTGTCTCGAATTAGTAGAGTTCTGCAGAGTTCCTGGGACAGAGACACTGACGTCAAAAGTTCTGGCACGTAAGCTGAAGAGTGTCGCTAAGTCCAGATGTGGGAGGCTGGAAGAACTCTTACACGCGGTTTAGAAACACGTTTTCCTGCAGCTGACGGGTATCGGAGGGCTGATCCTGATCACGGGATTCCTGGCTTTCAACGCGGGGTCCATCGGTTCGATGTCGAAGCCCGGCGATCACATTGTCATCGCCCGGGTCATCACCAACACAGTCCTGGGCGGCAGCGGTGGTAGTCTGGTGATGTTGGCGATGTGCAAACTTGGACTGGGCGTTAAATCGGCCTGGTCCTTTAGCCACACTCTCAACGCAGCTCTGGCCGGCATGGTACGTACTACAAACGCATTTCACTTGTTACTTATTTAACGACGTTTTCTTGGATGGTTGACACTGCACCGGAGATCCATGGTTTAAATCTTAGCGATATATCGCCTACACTGACCGAGGCTTTCCATGGTTTTAGCTAAGTCCTTACAGGAAAATGTCTGAATAGTTTTTTAAAATTAGGTCACAAGAAAACTTCCTTCCATATCCTTACCAATTCAGTAATGATCCTATAATTAGACGCTTTATTGTTTAAGCTGCTGATAGCGACGTTAAACAAACCACAGATAAATAAAATATAAGTAGCCGAATAACAAAACTGTTGGTTAGAACGCTGGCCTTGTAATCCTGGGGTCTCGGGTTCGATTCCCGGCGGTGCCCGAATTTATAACTTGTGTTGGGCAAGGCCGTGGTCTAGGCAACACGGAGTTTTCCTCCGTGGCATCCCAACAATTACTCCATTCACACACACAGAAGAAGGCAATGGCAAACCACTTCTCGATCATCTGCCAAGAACTTATATGAACAGGTCCCAGTCCGAGAAAAAGATGGAAGGATCCTGTTCATATGGACATGTCGTCAGACAGAACACTAAATAATAATAAGATGAGGTGGGCTAGCGGTTAGAACGCTGGGAAATGGAAACGATGAATAAAGCGGAGTAACTGAGGAGAACCATTTAATGACGTAATTAGTCTGTAGGATATTGGTGGTCATTACAGTGAGAGTCTATTTTGTTAAAATAAACTATTTAAAGAATTAAATTTGTTATTTATTTGCCTATTTCAATGAAACATACGGGTGTTTTCACCTTGTCATCACAGGTGTCCGTGTGTGCTGGGGCCGACGTCATGAGGATGTGGGCGAGCTTCCTGTCTGGGGCTCTGACGGCGCCGATCTACCTGGGGATTCACCACATCATGATCTGGATTGAAGGTGGGTTCAAATTTCAATGAGGCCGTCCGCCCGCACGCACGCTTCTTCTACCAGACGCAACAACCCAGCAGACTGCAGTCTTTACCCCACTCTCATGTGCCTTGCTTCAGCGGTGTTCGTTCGACGGCCTCGAGAACGTAAAGCAGGCACGAGGTTCAGAGAATTTCAAAAACAAAATTCCGTGGAATGGAACTGGTTTCAAGACGGAGAAATTCTGGACACTGAGCCTCATTACGTCATGAAATCAAAGAGCATTGGACGGGCGGGACATTTCCACGTACGGAAGAAAAACAAACAAGGGTAGAACTTCAGTCGTACAACCCAACTAAACGCGACGACTTGGAACAGGAAGGTTAAAAAGGGTGGGAAAGAACTAGTGTGAGAGATCGTGTTTTGGAATCAAGTGGCCCAGCGGTTATGGGCTCTTGTAAACGCAGTTAAAAATATTCAGGCTCCACAAAAGACGAAGAATTTTTTGATCAGTTGACTCACCATCATTTTCTGAAGAAAGTCTCTGCTGCTTGGAGTTTGTTCAATGTTTGCTCAGAATAAAATATTTCTCCTTGGGGAAATGACTGATTAAAATTTTCAAAAAAAAAAATTAAAAGTGACTTATGTAATAATTAGATAATACTGTTAGTGACACGTGACATTCTACTTCACAGTTGACGATCCGCTAGACGCCGTGGCTGTTCACTTCGGCGGCGGATTCTGGGGTCTCATATCAGCTTCGCTCTTCGGCCTTGGAGGAATTGTGTATGGGGCCGGAAACGAGGCTGGCTCGGTAACAATTTCCAGCTCAATTGTTTTAACGCGGGGTAGGAGAAGACAAAGATAAGGCATTTGGAAGTTGAAAAGGTGGGGTGAAAAGTGGATCAAGGACAGAAGTTGACTAAGGTCTTCCTGCGTGCGTGCACATTTTTGAATTTTGATATCGGCCTTTGAAGGTCGGAGTTTGGTAAAAGCTTTTGTGTTGATATGGGGCGGGGGGGGGGGCTACCTACTTTGGGGCGCAATTTTAATATTGGCACTGGGAGGGCCGCCTGAGAAGTACGCAGAGGAACGTGGAATTTGGGTACCAACCCAGTATTTGCTACAGGCACGAGGAAAACCACGGAAAACCTTGATCGACTTCCGGATACGTTCTGACTTCTGACCAGCAGTCCGGCATTTAAATACGTGAGCCCTAAAGGTATTTTCCAATCGACCTGACGCTTATTAAAAATTAATACACATTTGTTTCAAAAAATAATTTGGATAGGAAACGAACAATTTGGTTTGTTCCATGATGCAGTTACAAGAATCACGGCTACAGAAATCACATTTCAGATGCCAGTATCCCGTTTCTTTGCTACTCTTGTCCTTAGGTTCAAGGTTGGTCGGTCAAGCGGAGGTGATTGATCGATGCGACCGCCTGAGGAATGGACCCTCCTGGGGCACCTACAGCCGAATGGCGGTGTCCTGCGATGGGGTCTACCAAAAAATCAAATTTTAGCTGCGTCTGTGTGGGAGATGGGGAAATCTGAAAGTGTATGTTGCAAGGTTAATGCCTCAGAACACAAAATAATACGTAGGTTATCCTCTAGCCGTTTAAGAAACTAATCGAAATTATATTTAAGAATTCAGTCCGTACCGCAAAGAAAGCACAACTCGTCACCATTACACAGATCAAATGGTTAACGCTAATTATTTTGATAATCGTATGAAACCCATTCACATATTCTGAAAAGAAAATTCAGAGTTACTGCTTATGAAAGCAGGTGGTGTATAAAGTTACCACAGCGTCTGAGGAAAAGCTCGTATTGTTCACCTGTCCTTTCAATTCTGTTTCTGAGATAAACTAAAACTGTCTTTACGCGTTCATTTCTCTCGTGTTTCTGTTAAGGGTTTGGTAATGTAGCATCTTACCTTTAGTGTACGGTGTTTCAAGAACAGTGTTGTAGTACAACACATACAATTATCAATATTTCTCGCATTGTTTAGCGACGTGCTGAGTGACTCGCTTTCATGCTGACTGAGTAAAGAATGCCATGCGTGGTATAACCTAGCCTGAAAATGTCTATTTTTTCCTCAGTTACAGTGCTGTGTTTACAGATGCTGTGGCACAGAATTGTAGGCGCATCTGTCATAATCCTGTGGGGATCTGTATGGTCCTGCGTCATGTTCGGGCTCCTGAAATGGTGCGGGAAACTTCGCGTCACAGAGGAACAAGAATTAGAAGGTGAGAGGAGATATTCATCCACGGAGTCTTATGGGACGATCATCTGGGTTTAAGAAGCGTCTGAACTTGTAGGTAAATACCAATGTTTCGACTGAAATTTAGTCCTGATGATGACGGTCGTATGTTCCTCCGAAACGCTGGAATGTATCTACAAGTCCACATGTCATTAAAACCCAGAAGACCAACATCAATGCCTTCACTCCAGAGCGAACCTCAAATGTCACTGAATTGTTGCTGGTTAACAGAAAGTTTTAAGTACAAAATTATGTCACAACACACATTTTCTGTTGTGTACCGCCACGAAATCGATCTCTTTGTGCATTAAATGCATATGGTAGATACAGGTCACTCTCCTGAGAGCCACCAGAGAGCGTTGAAGGAAACATAAAATGCTTATGGAAGATAATGCAAGTCAGAATTTGGCAAACGCCAATCCTGTTACTTTGTAAATTAAAATGCTTTGTCCTGCAGGTCTGGATATCGCGATGCACAACGAACCAGGTTACCCGCTGAAGGGGTGGAACGTTCCGCCTCAATTTTCTCTGCATCCCGAGACACAATACTCCGTGAGGCCTCACTACGAACCGCTTCCGAGAACAGAGGCGGAACTGGACGTGGAACCAATAACGGAAAATGGAACACAGAATTCTGTGAAATCCGCCACTGATACCAAAGAACGCAACAACGAGGCCGAAGTCTGATAGTGAAGCCGACAGATACCTTCCTCGTAGATTAGTTCACAACGATTTTAAATAGTGATCCACTGTCATCGTCTCACACAAAAACATTAAGAAGATAGCTGTCTTCTGGGTTGTTGCGCCGAGGTCCTTGCTGCCTTCATCATCAGGGAGATCGCCCTGATTATGGTGGCAGTAACCACCTCTAAATCACCGGTAAACCCAGAAGACAGCCATCTTCTGAGTCATCAGTCAGCCCGTGTTTGGATACAGCAAAACGGTCACATAACTTTAATCCAGCCCTCGACGTTTAGATACATCGAGCGGCTTTGTAACTTAAGAAATATTTCCATTTAAAAACCCGCAACATTGTTAATTCAACACCTGTGTGTGAGTTACGCATTATTTCAACCATCACAGACTCCATACAAAATAGAAGACGCGAGATATTGAAGGCTATTGATCGTCTTAAAGGTGTAGATTGCCATATCTGCGAACTATAAATCTTAGGGATTTGCCTTCTGACTTTGACAGGTGTTGGAAAATTATGGCCCGCGAGTCGCTTACAGCCTTGCACTAACTCGATCAGGAATTATTGACCATAAAAATACGGTAGTTTTTTTTATTTTCGTGCAGAGTATGAGGAATGCACAGAAATTTTTTTTTAAAAAAAATACGAGTATTACAAAATCTAACATTGACGAAAACTCATTTTCTGAGACCCTGCGGCACGTGCCGTTTGAATTTATTGTTCCTGAAGATGGGAGTGAGAAATCTGATATTGTATTTTTTTAATTTACTGGATTTTCTCGCGGCAATGTATGGTCGCCTGTCACTTCCAAACAGAATAATCCGGTATCAAAATAATAAAAAAAAATGAACCTGAAAAACCGCTTTACCAATTTCTATTCGTTCATAAGAATTCCACTCTAAATAAATCCTCTGGTTGATACAAGTCCCTTGACTCGAGCATAGGGAATCCCACTCACAAAAGTCGAAACGAGGTCGGGGCCAAGTGCTCGTTCTTATTTCTGCAGGCCCACACTGGTTTTGGCTTTAGAACCGAATGCCAACGAACTACTCGCCTCCAGGTGAGAGCAAAAGGGAGAAAAAGTTCATGAGGTGACCTCGACACTACAAAGGCCACTGGACACGATCATGGTTCATTTCTTTACCTTCAAAGTGACACAACTTCTTGGACCGTAATCCTTTCAACCAGAAGCTCGCCTAAATAGTATTTTAAGAATTCAGTCCGTACCGCGAAGGAAACACCACACTTCACCATTACAAAGATCAACTGGTTAACCTTGTTTAAGGAAATAATACGACTAAAACGCTAATTAACCTTCGGAGCCGAAGCTCTTTCAAATGAAACTTAAGAATTCAGTCCGTACCGCGAAGAAAACACTACACTTCACCATTACAAAGATCAACTGGTTAACCTTGTTTAAGGAAATAATACGACTAAAACGCTAATTAACCTTTGGAGCCGAAGCTCTTTCAAATGAAACTTAAGAATTCGGGCCGTACCGCGAAGAAAACACTTCACTTCACCATTACAAAGATCAATTCGTTAACGCTGTTTAAGGAAATAATCGCTGTTTTGAGAATCAAACAAAACACATAAACACAAAATGTAGAGTTGTTGGTTATGAAAGTAGGTTGAGAGTAAACTAACACTTGGCTTTAAAAGATAAAAACGTCTTTACCAAGTTATCAATTCTCTTGCTGTTTAGCCCGGAGATTCCGGGTTTGATTCCCGGCTCATTGGTGTCTATCGCCAATTGCCCTTAGTCCTTCCACAGTCGATTCACCGACGCTATGAAACATTTGGAGTTCACACAGAGTCGTTGAAAAGTCAAAACACGGTTTTCTAATATGAAATTAAAGAGATAATAGATGGACATGTCAGCTGGCCTGGTGTTGGGAGGTATGAGGGCAGGGCAGGGGAGGGGGGTAAAGGCGTGAAGGAAAGTTGTGTAAAGTTCACAAGCGCCTTAAGAACCATAAACTTTGTGACGCTATTTAAATAAATTACTGTCCCCGCCATACCAAATTCCACGAGTGTATCTTCATCGATTCATGAATCAACTGACACGATTATATAACATTTCCTCTCTGGTTTCCGTATCATTATCTTGCAAATTTCGTCATACACGGCTCTGCTAGACTTACTACGTCAGACCGATGTTGTACACCCAGGGTATCTTGAAAGGATCGTCAGATAGAAACGTCGAGAACACAAAACAACCTTCTCTCAGCGACCTTTCTCCAAAAACAATTTTCTTTTTAACATTCGATGTGTATGCTGCATAAAACATTTTCAGTTATGTAACAAAACTGAACACAGACTTGAAACTAGGTTGAATGTTTAATTTATGTTCACCACGCACATGGAAATTGTTTATTGTATCCTTCAGCAGAAACCAATTCATTTGTAGCGGTAGAGTGAATACGCTTTACCGTGTGACCTTCCACTAGCAATTTTTTGTCCAAAGATTAAACGAACGACATCAAATATTCCCGACTTTCATATTCCGAAGTCCGTGTCTGCGCCATGTTCGTCCGTGTGTTTGATTTGTGTCCAAACCACTCAGAATATCAAATTTAAAGTTGATTTTGCAACAGGTTCTAAAGGTTGTAAAAAAATGTTTTATGTTCTCCTGGGGCTGTAACGTCGTGTGAACTGATTGGCTGATACCTACGTTTGGGAGAAATACACAACCTACATCTTAAGCCCTGAAGATTAATGCAGTGTGTCTCTCCGAAACGTTTATATCTACCGAAGATTCCACATGGCCTCAGAACCCCAGCAGATCATGATCTCGTACTTGTTGAAAGTCTTCGGTTTTATTCTTTCTCGGGGCAGGTGCGCGATTTTCTTACGTCACTACCGAGTTTCAGTCGCTGAAGATTGTGAAGAAGTGTGGACAAGTCACGTGCAAACGCGAGGTGACGACCGGGACATGCGGCAAAGTGTTTGTTTTCTTTGTTTTGTTGAGACATACGTGCACATATTCTGTGAAAAATGAGTACAAAAATGCTTCTAAAAAGGTTACTCGAAGAATAAGAAGAAGATGATGTGTTGCTGTGTTATTTGTTGCGAAAGAAACAAAGAAAACCTATGAGTTCAATATTCAAAACCAGACGTGAAGAAGGATCTTTCTGTCGGTGGTCAGTGGTCGGTTTTCTGCTACTAATTCTACCAATTGCTCATCTTGGTCACCAGTAAATTTAATTTCTGCCGTTATTTTACTCAACAACACACGTGCTGCCTGAGCCCGTCGCGAGACACTACTGGTCCGAGAGCGGTCTCCTGTGCTTTGTCTCTGTCGCCTGTCTTTGTCTCGCGCTCGTAATTGTACTTCATACGATTGTACAGAGAGCAGACAGGAAGCGACCAGTCTCGGTCTCGCAACTCTGTCGCCTGCCTCGGTCGCTTGTCTCTGTCGCGTGCAGCCAAATTGTACCTTTACTCGTAAGGGACTCTATATTATTATTACACACAATGCCGCCTTACTTCCCTTTATCAGGAAAGTCCTTAGGTCCTTAGGTCTGCCCTGGGTTCTACCTAATTCGAAGGGCATTTCGTAAGTGAAATACCTAACTTCATATTATCGGAGATATTGTGTCCTGAAGGTGGTAACCAGCGACTGGGATTAGGTGACCACCTAGAAGACAACATTCGACTAGTCGATAAACATTCCATTTTGTTAAAATTAAGTATCAAGACTTTTAGAAACGTCACATTTCGGAATATGTTACGATTTGCAAATGTCTGAAACCCCGACAATTTTTTCGCCATTGAAACATTTTTAGGTCTTTTTTTATATAAGGGTCACGATTTTCTTTTTCAAAATTCCAGATGTGACAGACTACATGTTTTCTTTTGTCGATATTTTCCTGTTTTCAGCACTAGAATGCGAACACCGCAGATGAGCTGGGGGGGGGGGGGGAAAAAAAATTGACTTCACTGCCAACCACTGTCGAAACAGAGTTCCTGGAACGCACTGGCGGAAAGCAAGGTAACTGGCAGATCACGAAGGAAGAAGCATTCGTCATTTTAGCAAGAACCGTGCAGTGGACTGGCGGCACAACCACGCAGGTAAGACGCTCGGCACTTGGCTGCCATGTTTATTGCACAAAACGTAAATGTTTAACATTGCGAAAAAAATTAAATAATAAAATAAAATTAGAATCTTGGGTAGCAGTAGTGTCTTACGCCTTCACGACACGGATTTTAAGCGCGGAAAAAAGTTTGCCTCTGCGAGAGAAGTTGTAAATGACTTCTGTCTTAAAATTAATTTTGTTTTGATAATGCAAGTTTATAATCTAACAATAACGAGCAACTCTGTAATGTAGCTTCACGATGTATTACGTTTTTTTTTCTTATAACTTTCACTTTTTCGCCAACAGAATGCGAAACACGCAACGCAGATAACAAGACAACATCATTGTGCCACGAATCACTTCTTTAAATATTTTAGCAAAACACTAGCCTATTATTTTGTTACGTTCTACCCACTATTTTACCTTCAACAAAATTAAATATCTTGTGCACGTAACTATTATTTCAAATGGCTTATGTAGAATCCGAGTTTGAAATGATGATCATTTTTGATCAAAACATATAGTAAAAAATTGCATTCTTTTTAAAATATATTACAGCACCGAATTTAATTAACTTTGTTAAATCACACTAATGTGGCTCCCACTTCACAAGACCGTATATCCGCCATTATTATTAATTAATATTTCCGACTGTATGAAATTAAGAATTATGGGGTTTGAGTGACTTTTAATGTCAAAAAGTTCATACAAAATTTGAGTATACCAACACAACTATGCCAAGTAAACAAATAACGTGGCATTGTTTGATGACGTCATTTCTTGACGACGACGACAAATCACAAATTTTTATAGTAGATATTTAATTATTTTCTACAAAACATTTTGTAAATATTACATCATATTTTGAACTTGTTAAATTTGAGCTAGTGTATTCGTTTGTGGATAGGATTACAGCGTGCGCTTAAAATCCGAAGTCAACAATTAACTGAATAAGCAATCGAGGACATATGACAAGAGGAGGTCCACCAAACTGGTAACTGTGTTCGGAAACATAAACCTCTCACCTCAAGAACTGACATGTCACAAATGTTATACAAGCTCTCGGGCGCGAGGTCTTTTGTGAGTACTGTGATGAACGGTCGGATTTGATAGAAATCGGGTACCTCCTTTACCACCTGAGTTACTGCCAGTTTCTTACGAAGGACTCTGCTTCGTGAAGTTTTTGTTGTTGTTACATTACTTACTTAGTAGCGTACACTGAGTATTGCTGAACTATCTCCATGTTTCACGTGGGTATGACTGTGGCAATGAATCATGAATTTACCAGGTTCCGTCGTCACAAATTGTCAGAAATAAGAGAAACCGGGGAGACCCGAATGTGAATTACACATTGCAGGATATGCGTCTTAGGGCCAGAATTTGGCAACTTCGTATGATTATTCACTGGCATTAAGAAGACAGCATTAGCGGTAAGTCATGCAAGGTTATCTAAAATTCACCGGAAGTCTGGTTTTTTAACGACGTTATATGTGGTTTCCTTCGGTGTTTTTTTTAAATTGATAAATATCGAGTACGAAATACGGACCACTGCTCCGACAAATGCGAACATCTGCATTTATTTAAACAATTTCAACGATTACAATTTCGGGACAGAAAAATTATTTGTTATAGACTAATGAAGGCTTCTCAGATACTAGTCTTCAAGATTTGTAACAGTCGCTTAGAACATTATTCCATGCACACATCAGAGACTTCTACAAACCTCGAGACTCAAAAACTTCAGATCCCAATAAATGTTTTATGAGCCTACAGAACGTGTTTTGCTACTGCATTCCGATATTAAAATCAAGAACACTGTTGTTAAATATTAAGTATCGGCATAAATATTCAAGTCGCAAATCGCTGATTGTGATACATACAGGGTGTGTTTAATTTGGTTCGTTTTGTATCCTACTAAATGCAAAATAACTAATAGCTTCTTCAGAATTCACTGTATACAACCACGCTCATCTAGGCCTATTCAATCAAAGGCACATACGATCTGACCTAATTAGCAAATTCTGGTCAAAACAGACCGGAAAACTCAAGAGTGGACAGGAAGCAATCAGATGACGTAATTACAGATAATGATTACTTATCATTAGCTATGCTTTCACCAGTCTGTTACACTGTACGAAGTTTCCAATGAAAACAGTTCTCAATGTGTCCCTCGTAGTCAGAGGACAGTCACTTGCTGGTAACACCAGGGCGATATCTGTGTCGCAGGCGATACGCTGCGAGCGTGTTTAAAATATGGTAATTAACGCCGAATGGTTCCTTCTACATTCATAAATTTCGTTTGTTTATCTTAATCACTGCCCCGTCGGGCATACGTTTACACAGAGAAACTCCTGAAGGTATAAAGGTTACTGGCGACCTTCATTGGACTACAATATTCTTCCTAAAACAAAGCACAAAGGCATTTATGTAAAAAAACGAGTCCTTCTCTATTAACTGTAACAGTGCGCGTCATAATTCCTTTGTAATTAGCTACTAATTTGACTCGCGTTCCGGGAAATCTTTATAAAGTAACCGATAGAAAATTATATATCCCTTACCGTTTAATTTTAATAACTACGGGGCAGTAGCGTAGCTCAAGACATGAAGAAGTCGCCGGACACTTAACCCCTGCTCCGTGTATAATCTAAGGAATCGACATTCGTCAGCGAAACATCGCAACAGCTGTGACGTTACAAACACGCTGCCAGGTTTCGACGAGCGACAAATTCAATTTCTTTTCCACGACGCCTGGGCAGGCTTTGGGTCCCAAAGTTAAATATTTTAAATTATAGCAGTACATTTTTTTCCCCCGCCTAGTTTATCAATTAGCATCTCTTAATTTTTGTATTTATTTCGTATTACTCTCAGAATAAACAGCGATTATTTCCTTAAACAGCGTTAACCAGCTGATCTTTGTAATGGTGAAGTGTAGTGTTTTCTTCGCGGTACGGACTCAGTTATTTAGCCGAGCTTCGGCTACGCATTGTGTTTTTGTTGACGGCCACAAACCGTAAATTAGTAATGTGGCTGAACATCGTTATCTGCGCATGGCAAATGCTGTTCAGGGACAAACTATGAAAGAATATTTTATTTTCCCTGGCAAGGCAAGAATTTGTAACCTCGTACTTCTTCAAGCATTGAGTAAGTTTTATTAAAACAAAACAAAACATAATATCAAGCCCATGCTAATACAATTCTGAAGTAAGACGCAGGTGTTCAAACTTCTGCGGGTATGAAGATTTATGTCTTCTGGGTTGTAGCGCCGTGTAGTCTGGTAGAAGTTTACCGACGTTTCAGAGGTCCTTGCTGTCACTCATTGCCTCGAAGATGGAGGAAGAAGGTACCTGTGAAACGTTAGTTACTTCTACCAGACTATATGGCGCTGCAACCCAGAAGACAGCCATCTTCGTGTTCAGCGACGGAAGAACTTCAGATTCTACTAAGATAAAAATACAGATTGAGAAGCTTCATAATTATTATGATGATCGAATTAGGGACGACGAGATTCGAGGACAATGTAGCACGCATTTGGAGATGTTAAATGTGTACAAAACTTTCGTCGAAAGACCTGAAAGAAAGAGACCACCCGAAAGACTTAGACATAGATGGGGGGAAAATTAAAAGAACAAATTCTAAATAAATTCGATGGAATGTTGACTGGATTAATTTGGGCTCGCAATGGGGATTCGTGAATGGATATTTTAAGATTCTATAAAAGGAGGAGAATATTTGGACTACATGAGCGACTATCAGTTTCTCAAAGGCTCTGTCCCATGTGCCCAGCATAAAATACGTCAGTACATAATGATTCTAAGGAGATCTCCCGTTTTTCAGCGCTCGATGACTTGTCTCTTTGTTTCAGAAAGGAACTAAGAAGGAAACACCGTTTGCAGGAATGGCGACCAATTCTACTGACCTGGACGAACTAAAGAAAAATGTGGACAATGTGTTTATAATGACGAATGCCATTATCGTGTGCTGTAAGTTTCGTTAATGCATTACAGTATTTAACATATTTTATCAGTGAATTTATACCTGAATATGGCGGCAGTATTTAAGTCCGAAACGTCGGTATCTGCTCACATCGTCAATTACTCTGCCGTGAGAATGTCAACTGCCACATTTTTATTTATTCTTGGGGGAAAAAAATAAGGTTTGTATATTTATTTAAATTGCCTCCTTTGATCATGAGCTGAGGAATCGAACAAGCTCATTTGCGTGTAGACAACACCCCCCCCCCCCAAAAAAAAAAAAAAGGTCAAAAATGAAAAAGGATTTCCGTCACAGATAATACGAATCTAATAAATCCACGTTGTCTGTCACGTCACCCCCCCCTCCCCCCCCAAACACACATAATTTTCTTGTTTTTATAGAAATGTAATCAGGATTACTGTACAAATGACCAATTATGACGGTGCAAGGCGGAGCTTGGTCGTTTTTCTTCGGGAATTCCCGGCTCTTTACGTGACATTTTCATGTTTTTTGCTCGGAGCTATCCTGTGACAGCCACGTGAGTTCACTTGACGTTAGGAAATCCCCATTCATTTTCATCGGAAAATTATGACATGACATAGTAACGAGGTCATCGTACCATCAGCTCAGCACGAATGACACAGGACTCACTTCTTTAGCATAAAATTAACCAGTTCTTACATCAGAAAGCAACTTAAATTGGCAATGACCCAAAACTCTTCTGACAAAAGAGAAAAGTATAAATCTCGCAATGCATTTGTTCTGCAGGCATCAAAAACGAACTGACTCACGTCATGGAAAGCAGCAGACAAGACAAACAGCAGTCCCAATCAAAAAACCTCGTTTGCGTCGAATTAAACTCATTATTTTTGATTTGCAGATAAGTGACGTGTCGTTCAATGCCTTCATAAAGCGTTTCCGGAGAATACCTCAAGCGATGTCTGTTCTGTTCCCACATCAACTTGGCACTCTCTGTTACATAACAGATTTTGTACCATTTGAAAACTTTCCAGTGTTATCGTATATAAATAGAATTACAAACAAGTCCACCTCCTTGTAACAGATTCGATTTAAGGTCACGTGTAAATCGTTTTCCGTGTTTGGTGAAGCAATTTATCAATGCGTGTCCTGATAAGACAATCCTCCGACTCGTAACACAATTTCTGGACACAAGAGGTGTTTGCCTGTTAACAAGCGCTCACGGAGCGACGAGACGGCTGCAAGAATTCAATATTGCCATTGTTTTAGTCTTTCGGTGCCGAAAGGTTTCACGAGTGACACCCTGTATGCAGTTTCAATTTTGTTTCCTTCTTACATATTTTTGTTTTCGGATGTTCAATTGCGAATAAATTTCTGTTATGGAGATTTGAGGTTCCCGTGGTCTTGAATGTGTTGGTCTTCTGAATTGTAACGTTAGTCGTCTTAGCTATTGGTCAAGACGCCGTTACCACCCAGAAGATTAATATCGGCAACTTCCTCCCTTAATTTTTAGTTGCTTCAAATTTGTAAAGGATAATATCTATAGTCTTTTGTGTTCATATTTCACAGTGATGCAGAGCGGGTTTGCATGTCTGGAGGCAGGGGCAGTGCGGTCAAAGAACACGACGAACATCATCATGAAGAATATCATGGACATATGTGAGTACCCAAGACACAATGTACAGAATTAATGCCTCCATCATCAGGGCGATGTAGTCAGAAGCATCTCTGAAACGTCGGTCAGTGTCTAGCCAGACTACATGGTACAACACCTTCAACCTGTCAAAAGACAGGGATCTTCGAGAAATCTCTGGCTCGTGACTTCTAAATGTCTTTGAGCACAGACTCCAAGAGGTTTCGACCTACAGTGCATGGTCGGGAGCGTTTCCCGACTGATCCTTCGTAAAAACTGTTATGACGTCAGCATCCGGGGGAGGGGGGGGGTTACACAGATTACGTGACGACTGCGACTCAGAAAACACAATGGGCAGCGCATACTAGCGGCGAATGTTAAAATAAATTACTCTCCATTTTCGACTTCAGCGTCAGTCACAGTCCTGGCAGAAAATTGTAATGAATTTTGTCAGTTCGTTGTTCGTGTCTCAAAGGAATGGTTTCCAAAATTTTTGTCATTCGTGGTCCCCGACAAATTTCAGTTCACTTCATTACATTCTTTCTTCTCAAAAATACAAGTTTTTCTCTTTTTTTTTTTTACAACTATAAGAATTGACGTTTCAGAGGTACATTCTGTCTCCATCATCAGGGCCCTTCTACCAGACTACACGGCGCAACAAACCAGAAGACAGCCATCTTCTAGTTACAAACTGCGGTTTAAATTAAATGCTACAAACATTGGCATTTAATCCTCGTTATTCGCTGGGTTCAATTACAGAATGAAGTAAACATCTCATTTATATCTTTTACCTGGAACTTCAGAGCATAAAACTGGTCTTACGACACGCGGAAAAATACTCTCCACGTGTTCACCCACCTAGTCAAGTCTGCTTCATGCTACTAACGACTGAATTTCCCTTATGAACCTGACAAAACACAGAAGCTGACATAAAAGGGCGCCTTTCTTTACACCCTTAATCAAGCAGCCTAAATATTATGGTCACTGACACATCAAATTACATCACACATCACGCGTATAAATATTCCAATCTCAAATTCGACAGAGGAACCAAACGTATTGAAGTCTTTTCTTGTCGAACTCCTCAGATCCTCCCGATCTAACAACTCGTTATGAGGGCTCCCGCGTAAACCTTCCCTATTCCCGCTACAAAACCTCTGAAGCTGAAATAAGGTCGCTAAATGACCCAAGAACTAATGTTTTGCAGCCGAAGGCCCGGGATCAAGGCCGGATGAATTCAAGTGAAATGTGGAGTAGGCAAAGTGGCAATGGACCAGTTTCTTTTTATTTTTTTGTGTCCCAGTTTTCGCCCCTCCAGCTAATCGCCGTTCCATCAATCTCTTCGTAGTCACCAATCACCGCCTCTCAAATGTGCGTCAACCCTGACACCCTTGGTCCCAAGTGACGGGATTCATGTCTGTGAACAAGCACTTGGCTGATCTCCCAGTAAAGGTAGCTTAACAATTTTATTTATTTCTGACAAAAAGTGTGGTTTGTGAACATGATTTCGTCTTTCTTTAACCTAAGAAGAAAACCTGAATCATGCATTTCAGGAACACGAGACACCCCCCACAAATTATAACCCACCAATGAATACGTGAAGTATAATACATAAAGTTCCATTTAAAACGCAATCATAAATAACATAAATATACGTGTATGTAACCTTCAGTAACATCGTATGTTACGAAGAACTACAGAGCGGCTTCGCATTTGTCAACATTGTCCGACGCCGTAAACTTCCTGTTGTCCTACTCGGCAATTCCTTTTCGAGATAAGAGCTGTTAAAGTGCATCTCGAGCAACAGAAAACCATTTCGAAGCGAAGTAATGTTCGAGAATGAACACACGTTTTGGTCGTAAACGCCTCGTTCGCATCTAAGCAGCTTTTGCGCAACTGGCCTGAGTAGCGGCCTAGCAACCAGGGTGACCTTGAATCGAATTTAATTTTTCCCCCACGTAGTACGTGATTGGAATTTGGTTGCGTTTTAAATGGTACAAGATTTGCAATAAGTTATTTATGATTGTTTATGACTCTTGTTCTCATTACCCTTACTGAAAATGGAAAATTACACTACGCTGCGTAAGACAGATAAACGTATTTGATTTCGTATTTCATGAACAAAAAATCTCGAAGTACTGCATTTTTGCACTGTTAATGTAAAAGTCTCTCAAGTTTCACACGGACGTATTTCTCGTGTCTGCAAGTACAAACATGACGACGGACCTCATATTAGCGAACGTGTGCTGTCCGACCTCCTCCTATTGGCTACCCTGCTCTCACCCGATCCTCACCCTTTGGTTCGACCAAGGTTCCGATCTTGAACCACTGCGTACATTGTCATGTCTCCCGCTTGATCACGTCAACACAACAAAATTTATTACGCAACTCTTATTTCCGTGTGCTCCATACCCCGCGGAACACACATTTCTTGATAAAAATCCCTTCGTAGGTAAATTTAAATGATTTTTAAAATATAGACTGATCTGTATTCAGATAAGATAACAATAATGGCGAAGTAATATTGCTTTTATATGTTTTTCATATCACGAAACTCTTCTGTTCTGCGTCTCTTTCATGAATTCTCAACAATAAATGATGGTGACGTCACAAAACACCAACAGTAAACCTCAACCTATGCGCGGAATCGTGTGCCAAACTTGAATGCATTCATGAAGCAAATTACTTCGTGCTCATAATAAAAATTATCGTAACTACTTTGCATGTATCGTAACAAGATTGAAAGGATTGTTGTGTTTATATACACGTATCCTCGAACTTACAAGCCGTCTAGCAACTGTCGGCGTTACGTAACTGGAACCACTAAGGAGACGAGAAGAATACTTTTGTTATATGGTAATGGAAGTGAGAAGTTGGCAACACTGAGCAACACTTTGTAGAGACCTCTTACGTAATGACATAATGGCGATTTCTTCAGACACGTGTATGAAAATGAACAAGGAAAAGCACCTTTCTGGGAAAAGTTGTCAGTGGAACCACGGTTCCAGAGAATTAGACGTAAATACGTCTATACGGAAAGGAAGTTTATATATTGGCTTTATTCTAAATATTTCCTTTATACATGCTTTACAATTGAGTAAAGTTTGATTAAGACATTGCTTATTTAACTTGAATTAGTTACGCTTAAGATGGGTCTGTGGTAGCTGAATGTAATGTAAAGTAATGTAATGTAAGGTAAGGTAAGGTAATGTAAGGTAAAGTAATGTAATGTAACTATGTAGGTAACCATTGTTGTTTAATTGTTGATAAACAGATGACGTTTCCCAGGTAACATAACAATGAAGTTTGACGTTTCCTAGGTAACATAACAATGAAGTTACACTTTTTCGTTTCCCTTTTTCGTAACACTATTTCGTAACACTATTTCGTAACACTTTTTCGTAACACTTTTTGCCGAATGACACTGACCCTAAAATATAGAAGTATTTACGTCAAAAAAAATCATAACTTCTTTCTTGGGTAGAACTATTTGACACTCTAAGTTGCTTTAGAAATGCTTCTAGATTTGTTAAAATTCGACATTTTATGGGACCGCAAATGCAATCCATTGCAGGACTTAACATGACCAACTGAGCGTGATACGTGATCCCCTGCCTTTGAACATTCGCGGGACCTGACATATATTATGCAGCTACAGATAACAGCTTCATTCGGAATTTTAACTGTACCAGACTTATCAGAACGAACAGCGATCATTTTATTAAACAATATCAACCAACTGATCGTTGATACGGAAATGCGTTGTGTTTCCTTTGAGGTAAGAACTGAATTTTTAAAAGAGATGCAAAGTTCTGACTGACGATCAAGTATAATTTCTAACACTGCGTTTCAGTTATCAGTTGCATCAGCTACTGGCTGGTGGGGTACGCGCTGGCGTACGGGGAGGGTAACTCCATCCTGGGGTACACGTACTGGGCAGGGATCGGACTGCCAGCAAACAAGATGTCCCACTGGTTCTTCCAGTTCATTTTCGCAGCTACGGCTGCCACCATAGTGTCTGGAGCCGTAGCAGAGAGGTGCAATTTCATCGCTTACATCGTCTACAGCATTGGAATATCAGGTGAGTGACAGACAGACAGACAAACTACTACAAAACCCTAAGGAAAATAAGTCTTGTCGCCTTCACAAAACAGAAATCAAGATCAGATGGTCACGAAATCTTCCCACCCCATTGCTTGCAACACAAATGTTCATTGCCGTACAAGAAAAATCTCCCCAATTAACAGTATCCTGAGACGGCCAAATGTTCAGCAACTTATTCTTTTGTTTAATGACACTTTCAGTAGTTCAGGCTACTGAATATACCGTCGAATTACACTATGACTAAGGATTGGAAAGGATACGATGTGAAGTGGTCGTGGCCTGATTTATATCCCCGCGAGCCGCCACGGTGATCTAGCGGTCAGAACGCTAGCCTTGTAATCCTGGGGTTCCGGGTTCAATTCCCGGTTATGCTCAGATTTATAACTTGTATTGGGCAAGGCCGTGGTCTAGGTAACACGGAGTTTTCCTCCGTGGCATCCCAACACTTACTCCATTCACACACAGAAGAAGGCAATGGCAAACCACTTCTGGATCATCTGCCAAGAACGTATAGGAACAGGTCCCAGTCCGAGAAAAGGATGGAAGGATCCTGTTCATATGGACCTGTCGTCTGACAGAACACTAATAATAATAATAATAATAATAATAATAATAATAATAATAATAATAATAATAATAATAATAATAATAATTATCCCCGCATTTCCCTTAAGGCGTTGATGAAACCCACGGAAAGATCTCAGTTACGATAACCGACCTCCTGAATACGAAGCAGGAGTGCCAACCTAGTCTTTTATTGTTTACAACTGAAGCCAAAATGCGATGTTCGCTTGTTTATGAAGTATTTACAAACTGCTAATGGCCAATTCGAGCTCTAAACCTGACAAGGGACGTCATCGTAATGCAATTTAGACAGAGCGGAATAGTTTGTGACGCAGAAACATTCTGCATCTGTTTCAGGAATCGTGTATCCTCCTATATCCCGCTGGGTGTGGACTGAAGTCGGTTGGCTCAACAGGTTAGGGTACGTGGATTTCTCCGGTTGCGGACCCGTGCACTTGCTTGGTGGAGTCTGCTCGTTCTTCGGCGCACTGTTCCTTGGACCGCGACTCGGAAGATTTGAGTCCCAGGACGGAAATTCAGAGAAAGAGGAAATTGTCGGCCACTCCGTTCCAGTAAGTACACGACACTCAACCGAATGGAATATTCACGTAATTCAATAATTTTATGTGGATCGGCGGAAATTAATTCTGTGAAAACCTTGGCAGAACAGTTTTTTTCATCGAAAACCACAGGAAAATAACGGATTGCAACCTGCACAAATCAAAATGTACCTCGCAACTTCAAACCTCCCTCAAAACACTTTTGTCTACCCTTCAGCTGGTGGGACTCGGAACGATGATCCTCATAACTGGGTTCCTGTCCTTCAACGGCGGCTCACTCGGTTCCATGACGAACCCAGGAGATGGCGACATCATCGCGCGGGTGATCACCAACACCGTGCTGGGTGGAACCGGGGGCGCAATCACCATTCTTATCGCCAGCAAGATGGGGTTCTGCGGGCCGCCAGTGTGGAACTTCAGCCTCACAGTCAACGCAGCGCTCATCGGCATGGTAACTAGAACTTGGTGCAGACACTCTTCATAGACCGGATCAGTAGCATAGTAAATCGGACACAACTAGGTCCAGATTCGTTATCAAACTAAGCTGATTTCTTCTCGTCATTTTATGGATTAGGTCACATGATCGGTTCAAAAACAAAGCTAATTTACAAATTAAAATTTTATTTTGCTCTAAAATATTAGCAGGATATCTACTGCATATCAGATTTCATTTTCTCACGGCGATAGGTATGAATATGGTTGTCTTCCAATCGCCTTGATAATGGAGGCAGAAATCACCTCTGAAACGTCGTTAAACTTCAGCCTGACAACACGGCGCTACAACCCAGAAGACAGCCCTCTTCATACTCATCGCCGTGACGAAATCAGATCCGAATCGAACCTTTGCCGGATGTAAATTGGTTACTGAAGAAGGTTTCTCTATTTTATTACGAAACAAGAAATAACAGGGACTTTGTTTTGGGTAGCGTATGTTGTAGAACTTCTTAGAGGATTGTACGCTACCTAGAAGTGAGTGAGTGACAAGTATTTCGCCTGGTACTTTCATGCAAAGTCTTCTAGTCGCCTGCATTACGTTAAGAAATGTCTGACTCGCCAAACTTCGCGTGGTGTTACAGGTTTCAGTGTGTGCTGGAGTCAACAACATGGCCATGTGGGCAAGTTTCGTGTGTGGGGTTACAGCTGGGCCCATCTATGTTCTTATTCGTTCCATCATGATTCGCTGCAGAGGTAAGCAAGAAGTACGAGAGGAACTACGTCCTGTCACGAAATATCTTTGTTCGTATGCACAAGGTCCAGAGATAAATGTCTTCTGGGATTCTGCGACGTTTTTGAGATGTTGAAGATCTGACCTGATAATGGTGGCGGTAACCACATCTGAAATGTCGGCAAAATTATTTCCAAATTACACGGGCAACATTCCAGATGACAATCATCATCTTAGTCGTTGTCGTGAGAACCTGAAATCTCGCCTCGTACGAAGTCTCATGGTAGATCTCGTTGAATGAGATTTATCTTCCTTCACAGCGCGATTTCGCTATGAACTTATCAATTAACGCCATGAACAAGAACTCTCTTTTGATAATCTGACCGAGGTCAATAAATTCCCTTACCAAAGTGTCATCACTATGCTCAGAGGAGCGAGCCCCTGTACTCTATCCTGAGCCAGATTAATCCAATTCACTTTTTCACAGCCTGCTTTATAAAGATCAGATAAATTACTGTTCAGAGATATTTTTATTTACATTTTAAGTTTGGTCATAATAATTATGGTGCTGGTAACAAACCCGGTTGAACCAGAGGATAAATCTTATAGCGGTTTATAATTTTCATCTGGAATTTACGATCTCTGTTGGACAGTCCATTTTATTTCGTGTTTTAGGTTTCTTCTGGGAGCTTTGTAGACACTTTTACTAAATTTAATTTTCTATAATCGATATTTCAATTCGGTGCCAAATTTTCAGCTCTCTGTTCAAATGTAGCGAGAATGTAAAAAAATACAATAGCTCTGACATAATTGTTTTGTTGTTTACTGGGTTTGAGGACATCGAACAACCACGTGTTAGTACGTTTCCTCTGTACGTGACACAACAAAGCCTTGAAAACCATATCACTAGAGCGTGAACATCTTTCATTTCAAACAAGTTCCTGTTTAACACATACAATTTCCTCTAGATAAAGAAATCATTTACGTTTATTACTCTACCTACAAGTCACAAAATAATGCTGTACATCTTGAATACGCTGCTGGTTGCCACGTTCACATTATACCCCGACATTACTTAATAGACTTTTGTCCTTTGTGAATTAGTCCTCTAATATTTTAACACCTGGTAGGTAAGAGTCCAATACACTTGTCTTATATAATAAATAGGTCATTTCTACTCCATGCATTTGGCATTATTAACACTGAATGAATTATAGCTTCGAACTTATTGGAGTTACAACGTTAATTGATATTAAGTAATAAATCCACAAGAATAAAGAGGGCTTGAAATGGTAAGAACAAAGAAATTTCCATCTGACAACTGTGCAGAGCTTTGTCATCAAACGGCCTAAGGTCGAGACAAGGCCGGTCCGTGTCATTACCCGTGCGTATCCTCGACTGTGACACCGATGACAATTAATCTCA